GTGGAAATACAATCGTTCGTATATAAGGAGAAAAGTAATGGGGAAAGTACACACCCTTGGGGGGCTCCCATACTAACTGTACGGATATTAGATGTTATTTTCCCCAGTCTCACTTGCTGTTTCCTATTTATCAGAAAGCTATGTATCCATTTACAAACAGAAATGGGTACCTTTAGTTGAATCAGTTTAAGATACAATTTAGATGGTACAATTGTATTAAACGCGGAACTGAAGTCGACAAAAAGAACCCGTGCATAAGACCCTGAGGAATCCAGATGTTGTAGGATGTAGTGCATAGCCATATTGACAGCATCATCTACTGATCTGTTAGGCCGATATGCAAACTGGAGAGGGTCCAACAAAGGATCAGTGATGTCCTTCAGATGGGTCAGCAGCAATCTCTCAAAGACTTTCATCACTACAGATGTTAAGGCGATGGGTCTGTAGTCGTTCAGTCCGCTAATAGAAGCTTTCTTAGGTACAGGGATAATAGTGGAAGTTTTAAGACATGTAGGGACACTACACAACTCCAGTATTCCTCCAGTTTTCAGTATTCCTTTCTTTAAAAAACATTTTTCCTTGAATGTCCAGGTTTTAAAAAGAGATGCTTGTCATTACTTTGTCACTGTTACACTAAAATGTTTTGTTATGCCATTTAGAAAATGCCATGACCAGGGTCTAGTTTAGTTACTCATTCAGTGAGCCTTTGCATGAGAAGTTTGGCATTTGAGGAGCTGCTGGAAGGAAGCATCTGCTATCTCCTTAAGCAGGCAAAAACCTCATTAGTTTTGACATGTGTGGTTCGTGCTTGCACAATATTAGGTAGCGGACCCAAGCAGAACTATGCACATGTAGCATTATGATCTGCTGACATTCAACATGATTCTGGCCTGAGCCTCTCTGTGTCCTTAAAAATGCCTGTGGAATTGTATTTGTTTACCAGCTTAACCCAAGTCAGTAAAAATCTGCTTCTGAAACACTTGATTTTTATTCTGTCATTGTTCTTTCTTTTCCTTTGAAACATGTTCTACAGGGTCCTGGCTACTGTCTCCCAGCTTTCACATCCTAACTGGTTATTTTCCTTAAGTCATAACCTAGATCTCATGTGCCTCCTAGCTACTATTTCTGCTTTTTGCACCACAGTCACTCATATACATTAATGATTTGACACATTCCCTCATTTTATATATTTTATACCTGCATGAAGAATTACTGTCTTTCATGATCTGGAGATTTGTAAAACGTCACCCAAATAAATTATTTGCTCTCTTTTATTGTTTGAAGGCCTCTGAATAAATTATTAAAGAAAAATGAGGTCAATGTGTCACTTCTTTTGTAATTTGTACCCAAAACACATTGCTTTTCCTAGATAACATTGTGTGGAGGAGTGTGTCAGATCTACATTCAGCTGCTTGTGTTATGGGCTCTGCCATCTTGGGGTGGTCTTTGTTTGCTAATGCACAAAACAATATCTTGCATGAGGAGGAAGGCAGGTAAGTAAGGACTTTTTTGCATCAGTTTTATCCTATCAACCTTTCATGGTAACTAGAAGTGCATAGCAGCTAGATTTGTCTGAGATCCAAAGGATAGGTGTGAAGAACCAGAATCAGTAAGGTGAGCAGACAGACCCACAAGCATGGACTTGAAACATTGACATATCTGGTGCAGATCTCACAGAGTTGTGGGCATGCATCAATGAGATGGGAGCAAATCCCAGGACTTCAGATGGTTTTCCTACAATTTGATCTTATTGAGGCTCATTGAGCATTGATGTTTGAGTGCCATCACTGTTTTGTGACACATGGTCATTGTTTACATCCCACCTTTGTCTGTTGTTACACAGGTTTTGTGCATTTCTGTATAGTTTCATGCTTTATTCTGTAAATGTCAAAACAGGCTTTTGAACTGTAGCCAGTCTTCCTACAACAGATGTGTACATTTTGATGTTACAGTAACCAGAATCACTTGGATAGCGTCAATGACAAGGAAAATATCTTAGCTTATGAAAGCTATTTGAAGTCTCATCACAAATGGTGGGGCTAGGGTGCGGCAACTTCTCATAACAAAAATATAGCAAATTATGATTCCTAGCATAGGACTCCACTTGTGTCCCTATTACATTGATTCAGTTCTTGAGCTAGTGATGATGAATCAGCCTCAGAGAAGTGGTAGCGGTAAGATCATGCTTGCCTTGCTCCACATAAAAAGATCATCTAGTGCTCTTTGTGATAAGCTTATTTCTTCCAACTCGGCTCAACTTCCTTGCAGATGATTTGATTTATGAATACTGTACACCTTTGTGTAATATATCCCCTTGTTTGTTTAAAAACAGGGAGCTATTTGGGCTGGTGATTGTTACAGTCTGGATGAGCCTTTGTCGTAGTTCAGCCAAGTGAGTACTTTTATATATTTATTTCATCTTACCGTTTCTGATCCTGCAAATATATGCTGCCTCTGGTAAGAGGCATTGTTTCCCCCCACCCCACAAGGTTTTGTGATGCCCTGTTATAGATCAGTGTCCTTCTACTGACCTCTCACACATGGAAGTTCTTGAATTATTTTGAAGAGGAAAGAAGTTACATTTGTTCTCAGTGTGTCCCTGTATGGCCTTTAGATGTAAAGACCTGAGCAGGGCTGTTAACAATAGGAGACTGGGGAGCTCATTAACTCACGAGTTTGCTATAAGTTAGAAGCAACTGGATGGCACATAACAACAGCAGCCCACAATAAGAAATATTTCTAAAGCCATAAACATGTCATATCACCCACATTTTACGGCATTATCATAGTTACACATACTTTAAAACCCAGGAAACTGTCCCTGTGCTCAAACAACCTTTAATTCGCTAAGAGACATCAGTGGTGCACTTGGGATGGGAAAAGTCTTTGTGCATAACCTCTTGTAATTTTGTAACGACACACTTTACAGAAGAGGAGGTGGCCGAGCACAGTGGCTCAAGGAAATGTCAAAAAGACAAGCTGCTACTTTTCAAGTAGTTAAGGTGCTGTCCCCTTTTGCGTCAGAGTCCTATTTGTGTTTGCATAAGGTTTGTGTAACTTGCTGTGGATAATTGATGGGGTGTTTCTCAGTCCTGTGCCTAGCCACATGACCTGACTGTGCAAACCAAGATGCACCCTGTTGCCTTGTCAGTTAGTCCTAACTAGCCATGGCAAATTACACAGTCTTTCCACAAACACAAATGGCATTCTGGTCTGTCTATCATTTTCTTCTTTTTTTAATGTTTACATGCAGTAGCTCAACGTCATCCTCACAACAGTGCTATGAGATAAATCAGGCTGAGAAAGTGAGTGGTTAGCCCAAGGACACCCAGCACTTTTCAGGGTTCAGTGAAAATTTTGAACCTAGATTTCCCAAGTCCTCATTTAACAGTTTAATCATTATACCATACTCTCTTCATTTTTCAAAATGGTGTACAGCTTGCTGGTAACAGCTGCTAATTAACATAAAATAGCATCCCTTTACAGTTTGTGGCACCTTTTTCTGACATCATGTGCACTCATTTGATATGTTCTTTGTCCATTAGCTTTATCTGTACAGAATTCTGCTCTCGTATATGTAACTTGGTATTTTATAAAACTCAACCATTGTATCAATGTTCAGGTAAAATCAGCTCCCATCTTAGGGTGAATCATTGTTTTATATTAATTCAGAAATAAATAGGTCTGTATCCGATGCAACCATTTGCTTCAGCAAGGTCAGTCTCCAGATTTATACCACTGTAGTCCTACTTCCACATCTCTCAAAAGCTAATTCTGTGTAGCACAGAACCTATCGAAAAGGAAGAAATACTGTGTAGAGGGCTGAATTAGATAGGCAGGATCAGCAAAACTCAGGTGTTTCACCTTGTTGGAGCAGCAACACTTTCAGCTAGTGCAAAGTAACCACTGGGTACAATTTATGTGGCTTGAGACTTTTTAAAAAAATCAGATGGGGGAAATGTTTTAGAGAGGCATTACATAATGTCAGACTGTTTCAGTCAGCACTGCCACTATCTAGACGAGTTGGAAGATTCTTGGAACTATAGTTCAAAATGCCAGCCTTTCTAAGCTCTGAATTAATGGGTATTAAATCTTGTTCACAAATACTGATGAATCCCTTTATTGTTTGTTGTTGATTGTTGTATTAATGTGCTGTACATCTTTATCAAGTTCCATAGTTCAGTGTCCTGTTGTACTATAGCTAACCTGAAGAATGCTTGAGCATTGCTTTCTGATCACAATTTTCAAATTTGATAAGGGTGCTGAAATATTCCAGAAAGTTCAATCTAGCGTAAATTACATTTCTGCCCCCCCAGCCTTTTAGTCATTTCTAAGCTAGAAGACAAAGAAATACATCAAACTATTGCAGATTCAGACGTCATCTCTGGCTCTTTGTATTGGACCCAAGGGTAGCTCTTTTTCTGTTTAACTGGATTTAATTTATAGTAAAACCTCTTCTGTTTGTTTCTTTCCAGAAACTCCCTGGGTGGAATTCGCTTGGTCCTTGCGATTTCTCTCTCCCTTATTCCATTCGTAATGTGGCTGTACATCTACATGAATGCAGAGATGCGAGCATCTTGGCCATCTCATTGTAAAACAGTTATTTAGGATAATGGAATGAACCCTTACTCTTCTGCTGATCAGTTCTCAATTACTGATTCTTTAGTAATCCCCAATCAACAGCCACATCTGTGTCTCAGATAATTTAAAACTAGTCTCCAAGATAATTTGATTTATCTCTTCTCTTACCAAAGACTAGATGGGGGAACAATCAGCGGGAAAGATTACAGATTGTGATCTAGATTTCAGGAACATAATAAAAATGCCTTAAAGTGAGGTGCATGCCCATGTATGTACAGTGGATTGTATTGAATGAAACAGGATGCTGTGGGGACAGCTGAAGTTAAGCGGTGGTTTGAGCTTCATGCTGAAACTATTGAGGCTGAAGAAGGACAATGAGGTATAAATGGACAGCGATGGCTATGCATGTTCAGAGAATGGAAATAAAATTGCCAGTAATCAGAGAAAGATGCCTTTCAATGGTATCTGCAGTCTTTTGCTGTGACATTTATTCCAGTTACACATTGCATCTGCGTCTTCTGCACAGCAGATTTTAATCTACAGAATGTCACATTTGATGCATTTTTCATTTATTTAGTCATAAGTAAACATTTGATGTATGGTATTGGACCAGGGTAATTTTTGATATGGTGATGGGCCCAGTTGTCTCTTTTAAGACATGACCATGGAAACTGATGCAACTTCAGACTTAATCATATGCAGACATGATAGGATTTTGGAGGGCTACTAGTGCTTTAGTCAAATAACGCTTTCACCCCATTGGATATACATGAAATCTGAGATCTTTAATAGAATCGATAACACAAGACAGCAGTGGGCAGACTTTATAATGTGGGGCCTGCATTGTTCTTTGGTCAACTGTCAGCTCCACCAGCCAGAGCCAAGGGCAAAATAATGGTAGAGATGGGCTGAGAAAGATAAGAGAATTAAGAGCCACTGTGCTTCTAAGCACATGCTTAATCTGGAAGTTTGTTTTTGAAGCAGAAATTAATTTAGTCACTTCTGGTGCCACCCTTTCCCCAATTTCAACTTCCTAACGCAGTGTATGTGGAGACTTTAAAACATTCAATGTACCAAATATACATTTTGCTCTGGTCACTGTTCAACATTTGGGAATCAGAACTTCTGGTATAATGAAAATCCAAGATTTACTTAGTAGGTCTCAATCTGCTTTCCACCCATCCTGAGGCACCCCAGCCCTTAGGTATATGTACTGCTGCCCACCCCACCCCTCCCTTACTCTCGAGACTCTTTTCTTGCTGTACTACATAATTAAGAGTTTCCTAATTCTAAAATTCATGTTTTCACACTGTTGAAATCCTATGTGAAAACTAAATATGGAAACAGATGAAGATGTTATGGTGAATAGGCTCAATACTCATTGATCTGCTCTTTGCAAATATGGTTCCCTTTACAGTTTGTAAAAATATATTTTTGTATTTCTGCCAAAAATAAAAAATATGGACAAAATGTAATTTGTTGTTTAAGGAATTTTCTTTTTCAGCAAAAGTTACAGTGTAACTTGAAGAGAGCAACAAAGATAAAAAGGTGGGAGAGGGATGAAATTCATATTCACTGATGGAACTGACTAGTCCCGTTCCTATGGTAGTTATTGGTTACTAATGCAACAGAAGGACAATGAATAAAAACATTATGAATCATATTTTAGGTTTAGTCTTAAAATACAGTAAAAATTATCAGTGGAATATATATTCACAGTTTAAACAGAACATATTCAATATATTCAATGTTTTTATTTCCCATTTGCTGACATAAATATATCTGATTACTTCTACATCCTCCACTTTAACAAAGAGTGCCAAATCTTAATTTGGCTACCGGAATTTGAATTTAGAAGTGCCATTCCATAGGCTGCACACACACTGTAATGAGCTTTAGACAGAGTTACTAGCACAGTGAATAGTACATTAATTGCTTTAAGGCCTATTGTTTGTATTTAAGGATCAACGTAACACAGACAAAACAAGTGTTCCCAAATAAATGAATGAATGATTAAAATAAAACATTTTAAGATCAAAAGAAGCAGCATTAAAACAAGGAATTGTAATTATCAGCTTTGTAACGCATCTCTTGATCAGGGACACTTCCACTACCTTTTAAGACTAGCCTGTCATTGTACACATATATAGTCCCAAAAGCATTGCTTTCTGGAGGAGATGATATAATCCCTTCAAGAGTTAGATGATGGATTCCATGAGAATCTAAACAGTACCCGCTACAATGGACGTGGCCAGCAAGAAAACATACCACAGAATGATGCGAATGAATGATAGAAAGGGCATCTTCATAATTCCAAGCAAGGCAGACACTGTTTGTAGCATGAGGATGAATGGGTATATGACCTGAAAAACAAATACAATTTTAATAGTTGTTCTGTTCCAGGAATGTTACAATAGATAAAGTCATGCAGGATTTGGCAATATCATCAGGAAATGGTGTTACATCAATACTACTCAATACTTCAATTTAGTATTGTCTTCAAAGCGAAGCCTGTCGTACCATAATGAGTGGAAAGTTCTGAATGGGAGGGCTTCGGTTCAACTCTTAGATCATCTTCTGGGTAGCTTATGACAGATCCAGCAATATGTATTTAAAAAGCAAACATACACACGGGTAGCCGTTAAGTCAGAGGTGGGCAAAATGCAACCCTCCAGATGTTGCTGAACTGCAACTCCCGTAATTCCTAGCTCACATAGCCAATAGTGAGGAGAGTTGGGCCTAGTCCACACAGTGAGGAATGTTGGAATTTGCAGTTCAGGAACATCTGGAGGGCCGCACTTTGTCCAGGTCTGCCTTAAGTCATGGATCATTATTATACTTCCCTTCTGCTGTGGCACCCCAGGGCAACAATCTGCCAGAATAAAGTATTTCCCCCCCCCAGCAGGTAAGGAGGCAAGCCCCCTGCACCTGTTCTTTCCTGACCAAGATCTCCCTCTCCCTTACTTTGACAGGAAGTACAGCCTCTTAATAAATAAATAAATAAATAAATAAATAAATAAATAAATAAATAAATAAATAAATAATTGGCAATTAGTCTTCTTTATTGTGTTGTGATCAAATCAACTCTTGGGTTGTGATCAAATCAACTCTTTAACATTGCGTACATGGGCTAATACAAAAGAGAAAGAGAGGAAGAATGCTCTTTTTTCCCTGATTCTGGCCTCTCTAATTCTAATGATCCAATTATTCTCTCACAAGGACAATTCTTAAACTGCACAACAATCCAGGTTCAGGTGATGTGTGCAGCAGCTGATCCCATGCACTTCAACCAATTCCTAAAAATCTGGTCCACACGATGATAGAACTGAGACTAATGCTTTTCCTCTGTAACCAGATATAACTATTAATCGAAAATTCGTATTCGGCCATATGGATCACGCCAGGGAAATGGCATTTTGGGAAGCACAGAACTGTAAAAGCAGGAGCTTTTTTGCATATATTAAGACTGTCACACATTCAAACCAAACATACCTGCAGTTGCTACACATTTCACCAACAACAATAGCAAAGGCTTACCTGCAATTACAACTCTCTCTTTATTTTTGTCAGCATATGTAAGAACTTTGTCAAGCCAATCCAGCTGGTCTTGACTGAAACCTCCATTGAATTGTACAAACTGACATTCATCAAGATCTGTAGGGATGGAAACAAAGGCGAGGTTAAAACCTCCCCAAATAAGTTACACATTGTTTGTTTCTGTGCTTTTTTTCCTTGTGAGCCTTTTGATTACCATTAAAAATATAGATACTTAACTATTTAAAGCAAAAAATTTAGACCAGTAAAAACATTTTTTTCTTTGAAGATAAGCAGAGTAGGAATTCAACTTATTTAAATCAAGGGATGAGCAGGCTTTAATAGCAATTGTTTCTACACATATTTGATGTTGTACATCATCTTAATTACTCCAGTAACAGTCTTGCAACAACCCTTTTGGCCAGCTGAAGTTTAACATTTTCTGAAGGATGCCCCCCAGTACAGCAACCTACCATAATCCAGATGGGACACAGCAAAGGCATGTGTCACATTGTCAGACCTAGTCATAGCTGGTCCACTATCGTTAACTGTTCAAATATACACCCCTAGTCTCACAGAAATCTAAGAACCCAAGCTCAAGGCTAAACCCAGGACCACATTCAAAACTATGTCATGTTAAACTCCTCTGTCTAGTGCAAGGCCAGATGTTACCTGCTGTGCATGTGTGGAAATATGCAATGGCTAAGCTCAGCATAATACTATACCTAATGGACTATTCAGATTTACATTTCGATTTTTGCCTTGCAGTAACTGTAGAGAATCTTGATATTTTTTGCTGGATGTGTCACGCCCCAGAGTACTTAAATCATAAGCATCAAGGATAATGAATCGAAATGTTGGCATTGGGCAAAATTGATAAGCATAGCAGAATTCTGATGCAGTATCTCCAGTGTTGCTCAGATCTGTGTTAAAATTGCTAATTAAAGTGTGGTCTTCTAAGTACTTAGTATTGAGTGCAGACAGCACTAGATGGTCTCTTGTGAAGTTGTATAGTTCATGATTGCCCCACACATGGTGGACAGGGGCTTTGAGCTTCTGAAATTCCATCATGACCTTTTCCAGTGCTTTCTCTGACACCTTATATTGGGCGTTGAAGCCATCAATGATGTCCCCAAGCTGCAATACAAACTGAACTTGTGTTCTATTCCAATCTTCAACTGCATTTTGGAGGTGGCATAGGCTATGTTTATAGTATCTCTTCTGGATTCCCAGGAAATCATAGCCATCATCTAGATCGGCATATTGAATATCTGCTACGACTCCAAAACAGAAGAGAGCTTCAGAAGTTGCAGTTGTTGTGGTGCTTTCATCCATACCTGTCCACACCTCTTGCGAAAATCTAACAGGAGTAGAGGAGAAAAGAGCTGGCTTTAGATCAGGTATTAGAGAAGATGGAGAAAAGGAAGAATATGTAAGATATTTTTATTTAAATATAACATAACTACAGTGGTGTCCTGCATGACGACGATAATGTGTTCCGTTAAAATCGCTGTACAGCGAAATCGTCGCCATGTGAAAATAAAAACCTTATTGGAATGCACTGAAAACTGGTTAATGCGTTCCAATGGGGGAAATACCTGCTTGTCCAGCAAAGATCCTCCATAGGGCGGGCATTTTGAGATCCTTGTCTTGCCGAAATAGGTCCGGAAAATAGCGGGGAGCCATTTTGCAAATCGCCAATCAGCTGTTTTAAATCGTCGTCCAGGTTGCAAATCGCCAATCAGCTGTTTTAAATCATCTTCCAGGGGAAAAAATGGTTCCCGAAGCAGGGACTGAATCGACGTAAAGCAAAAACACCAACCCATAGGAACCATCGTTTTGCGATCGCTATAGCGATTGCAAAAAAGGCATCATCAAGCAACTTTGTCATTTAACGGGTAAGCGTCTAGCAGGGCACAACTGTATGGGCTGAAATTAGCAATTTGGGCAAGCTGCACTTCTATTTAACAAAAACAATAACAACAACAATGTGCCATCAAGTCAATTCTGACTTACAGCAACTTTTTCCAGGGTTTTCCAGGTAGAGAATACTCAGGTTTACTCTTCGCTTCTTCTGGAGGTGCCCTGGGACTGTGCGGTAAGCGTCTAGCAGGGCACAACTGTATGGGCTGAAATTAGCAATTTGGGCAAGCTGCACTTCTATTTAACAAAAACAATAACAACAACAATGTGCCATCAAGTCAATTCTGACTTACAGCAACTTTTTCCAGGGTTTTCCAGGTAGAGAATACTCAGGTTTACTCTTCGCTTCTTCTGGAGGTGCCCTGGGACTGTGCAGTTTGCCCATGACTGCACATGTTGGCCCTTCCTCCAGGAACCACAGTGGGGAATTGGACTTCCAACCTCTGGATCCTTAGCCAGATACCAAAGCCACTAAGTTGTCCAGCCATGTGCACTATTATTTATGTGGCATAATAAAACGACAGTATTTGAAACAACACTGATGAAAGCTATAGTTTTATGAATGTGTACTTGGATTGGGAGGAAGCGCCATGCAGCTCTTGAACAGACATGCATTTAGGCTGCATGGCAACCTCTTACTTTAAACCCCTACTAACGTCAGGGAACATCCCCAAACTAAATGCTTCAGCAACAGTGAGCTAAGCTCCTTTATACAAGTAGGTATTCTGATTTGATAGTCATAGTTTTCAGAGTTGTAGCCGTGTCAGTCTGTGCAAGCATTTCAACAAGAAACAAAAAACAAAACAAAAGCAAAAGGATGCTGTGGCACTTTAAATGGTCTTCTGACCATTAGAAACATATAAAACTCTGTAACCATACATAGTGACTCATACTGACAAAATTTACACAAGCGGATCACCTTATAAATCAGCATCCCTCTGGCAGGAAATAGCATGATAATTTAGATTTTTTTTTCCTGGCATAAACTGCTCCTTTTTTTAAAAAAAAGAGAAAGCTTCATAATAAATAAATATATAAACAATCAAATAAACTTATGGTGACCAGCCTGTCTTGAACACACAATAAAAGAATTGCCTCATTTGTGTTCCTACTGCTGTAAGATCTGGGCCAGATGTCTTGCCCTGCATATACTGGGGGGTGTAGGTGGGGCCCAATGGCCAATAATGTCTACCAGATCTTGAAGCTGTCTTAACTCACAAGATCAGGTACATTCAGAATAAATGCCTATTCCCATACCTTCTATCCAGAATAGCGAAGGCATCAGGTTCAGCTGAGCTCTAGTACAAGACACCCTCTCTCTGCATTTGTGTAGATGGCTTTAGAAAGGAAGGTAGCACACTAGGCATGTAGGGGAAACACTTATAGAGCTGAGCTATTTTGTAAGTTTGTATCGTTGCACTATTTGTCTTTATAGGTATATCAGATCATCTTTAGACTCAGGGTATTTTCTTCTGGCTTGCATCTCCAAGCTCTTTATGTGACGTTCTGAAAAACCCAGCTTCAGAATAAGAGAGGCGATAAATCCCTTCCAGGACTGATTATGCACTTCCTCATAAGAACTAAGGAGGGAATGGGAATTTGCTAAATATGATCTTAACATCATTTTAGAGGCTACTGTTTGAATTTTTATCATTGAGAGTTCTGCTCTACATAAATCTGTTCAGTATGTTCCCATCCAACCTCCATATATGCTTGCAGGATCTCATCCAAAAAATAACCACTTTGGTCTTCTGATAATTGGGTTGTAAGCCCTCATTCTTATAATTTCTAAAATATCAAAGGAGGCAGCACAGACCAACCTGCATTAAATATACCAGATATCATTAGCATGCAACTGTTTTTTTTAATCATCAATTTTAGGCATAAGTATTCCAGATATGAGATGAAAAAGCACTGGAGCCAGGATGCATTCTTGGTAGATTACTTTTGTTGTTCTGATAGTCAGAAAGGTCTCCATTGGGACCTACCCTGTTTCTAAATGAGGCATTTGTTTAGAGAGCCTGGATACAGGACAAAAGCAACTTATCTCTTTGTAAATCCTCCAGGTTTCCCTCCCCCCCCCCATCTTTACCTAGGAGAATTTTCTGAAGGAAAAGCATTTATGTATTTATTAAATTTATACCCTCCCCATCTAGACGCAAGTGTACTCTGGGTGGTTAACAATAATAGATAAAATAAAAACAATATAATAAAATAAAAGCATCATTATCCTCTTGAATAAAAAGTAACTTTATATATCACTTCATTTTCAATTCTTTTTGCCATGCCCCTCTGCTATGGAGATCCACTGTAAGAAAAACTTTTCAAGTTTATAGAAGAAAAAGTGGCACTCTAGAGAGCCACATTGTAGTCATCTGAAGGAGGCCTCTCTGTTACTTCCTCACACTGTTTTCTCCCCAACATGTGGAAAACAATGAAAAAATTGCGAGTTGTGGACAATGAAGGTGTAAATGGACGAGTTGTCCAGATAGGCGGGGTATGTATAAATAAATAAATAAATAAATAAATAAATAAATAAATAAATAAATAAATAAATAAATAAATAAATAAATAAATAAATAAATAAATAAATAAATGTCCCCACCCAGCTATATGTCTCCACCCAAAACTAGTGCAAAAGATACAAATTATGCTATCTGCAGTTCAGGTCTTATCTAATGTGAAAATATGGTGGCTTTTTTAAGCAATTGAAAATTCTTTTTTAAAAATTGTCTTCCAAATGTCAATGGGAGCGGCAGAATGAGATGTTATCTTAAAGCAAGCATAGATTTACAATTTTCTGTTCATATTGCAGGCTTGCACTGGGGCCAACTGACATTTTCTGTGACCTTTGCAGTCTCTTCTGATAGTAGGAATATTTCCTACTGCCTAGCGAAAGCTTGTTTCTAAAATAGAGCTTGTTGAACGGCTGGTGCAAACATAGTTCCAATAAAATAATTAGAAAGGTCAACAGCACCATGGAGTGCAGGGGAACGTGCCTCTCCACCCCTCCCTCCTAAAACGGGCCAGGACAGTGGGGACCTTAATTAACATGACCCCCAGCAAGACAATGGGAGGACCATGATTGCTGCTTTGATTTGCATCCCAACAAGAACTGGTTCTGGCAATCACAGCAGTATTTACTCAAATTTACATAGATTCCTCCCTCCTGGACACTCCACACTCTGAGTGCCTGGACAGGTAGACTGGGACAGTTCCTCTATGCTAATGAGCTTCCTGAATTGTTCATTAACCACAGACCTATTATCACCCAACTTATAGAATAGTGCCAACCTCCCACACCCCAAATCATTTGTCTAGAATCCATTCCCACTCCCCCCCCCTTGTATGTACATCCTATAGAATTCTTTGTTAACTATTTCCTAGTCCCTATGCTGTATCCCAACCCGATTCTGGAATACAGAAGGTATAAAAACCCCTGCCACCATTCTTCAGTGTGGGCATTTCACCTCTTGCTTGGGAGAGGCTGTCCCATCAGGGTTACTATTTCTTCATCTGATATATCAAATAAACGAAAGCCTTTTCCTGAACCTTCTCTCGAGTCAAGATTTATTGACAATTGATCTTGACTTGGAAAGTCTAGGGGCTAGCCCGGACTCAACATTGGTTATATATTTGTTACATTTATACTGTGCTTTTCTCTCAATGAGCTCTAAACAATGGCCTTAGCCCTCCTCCTTTTCATCTCATTCTTGACAAATTTGAGACTGGCTAGGTCAACAGGAGTGCGATTGGTTGAAGATCTCCTAAAGAGCTTCATAGTCATGTGGGAATGTGAATGGAGGTCTCCCGAGCTTTACTCCTAACTGCTCTGAGCACTGATCTGCTTGTAAGGCAGGCCTTCTGGAGACAAGCTGCATGAACCGTGATGGGACACAGGATGTCTGGCTAGAGGGGTCTTTCTGTCACCTCAAGCATGAATTTTCTTCAGTGCTCCATTTGATAAGTAACGAATTACTATAGGGTGAACTGGGTAGCAGCCCAATTAATTTCTTTTTTTAAACACACCTTTCAAAACAAGACACAAGGCAGAAATAGCATAAATTCTTGGCCTTACTGTTTTCTTTGGCTTGGGAGACAGAAAGTATGCCAATCACAACTATGCTAACATATTGGCTCTCTCCACTGGAAAGCTGTCACTGCTGATCCAGGCAGAATTTTAAAAAATAGTTCTCAAAATGAACACTGCGGTGGGGCAGGCTATACAAAGCTAGTCATTTTGTTCTATCATTCTTCGTTTATTTTATTTATTTCAGCACTTGTATGCCGCCTTTTCTGAAAACGTCCCCTAAATTTACATGCAAGCAATCCTAATTAAAAACAAATAAATACCTTATTAGTGGTTAAATCATCTAACGGTTAGAAAACTGAAGTATTAAAAAGGCTTTCCGGCAGAGCTGAAATTAACCAAAGGAGTAAATGGGCGCCTCTTGCGAAAGGATCCTTCCCTTCCATTGAACTGCAGAGAGAGAGAGAGAGTGGCGAAGCTCCTCTCCTCACCGGCACTTCAGGGCTTCAACTTGAGCCCAGTTTCCTGCATCAACTTCCTGTTTTGGACCCGCGGCCGCCGCCAACATGGGATGCGCGCACACACCAGGACGGGGAACAAAGCTTCCCGGGTCATAACTGACAAATTCCTACGTAAAAGAACCTTACAGAGCGGCGCTGTTCTATCCTTCCGCCTCTATGCCCTTCGACTATAAAGCGGCCGAGGGATAGAGCGGCGGCCACTTGCCCTTCGATCATAAAGCTGCAGAGTGATAGAGCGGCACCACTCGCATTTCCACCACCCCCCGCAGTGATAGAGTGGCGCCACTCTAGGACCCTATATGACGTGTATGCCATTGAAGCGCGGTCGGGATGACGGATTTCAAACTTTCCCTTCCGGAAGGGCAACCTCTACCTCTGTCTCGCCTCGCGGGTTCCTAAACCGTGGGAAAAAGGGGGAAACCAATGGCGGCGGTCCTATTCCGGCGGCTGGCCGTGTCGGGGCGGCGCGCCTCTTGGCTGCGTCCCACCTGCGGCTGCCATCCTGCGCGCACCTTGGCTGCGAGAGGGCCAGGGCGGACGGTGGTGAGCCGAGCCGAGCGCGCTTTCTCTCGGCGGAAGGACCGGGTTGGGGGGGGAGGGAAAGAGAGGGGCGCTCGGTGCCGGGGCTCATGGGTTGCGGGAGACTGACCCAGGATCAGAGGGAGGGGGAGGCCGCGCCTCTTTACCTCAGAGAGGAGGGAGAGACACACACACTCTGTGTGTGTGTGTGTGTGTGTGTTTGTGTGTGTTAATGGGGGGGGGGCTCCGCGTCCCTTTGCCCCTCGTCCTGGTCCTGCAGGGCCGGAGAGCGACGCCTGACCGGATTCCTTCCCTTCCTGTGGCGGCTGAAAAGCGCCCAGCCGTCGTCCGCCCTGTTAGGAGTCTGCCCTCGGAAGAGGCTCTGCGGCCTCCCCCC